TGTCTGTACACGATTTAAACAGTATTTGCAGCTATTTTTCGCGTAAGTAAAAGCGGGTGAGAGAGAGAGAGAATGTCTGTTGTTAGCGGCAGTCAACAGCAGAGAGGATACCTCTGTTACTAACAATAGTCAACAGGGAAGAGAGAGCGTCTGTCTTCAGCGATAGCCAACAGACAAGAGAGTAGCGTCTGTACCAAGCGATAGGTAACAAACGGTATGATACGTCTGTACCAAACGGTAGCCAACAGGCAACAGAGAGTGTACGTCTGCCTAGCGAGACTCAGCAGCCGAAACAGAGCGACTTCTTGTTTGCTATGTTGCAACTGTCTGTATTTCTAATGGAGTGAGGTTAAAATGTGAGTAAGAAGGGTTGAAGAATGGGATATAATTGTAAAATTGTGGTAGAATGGTAGTTAGTAATACAGCGAAAAAATTACATGATTTTTCGCATGTGAAAAAATTTATCATAAATGGTAGATTTGCCAACTGTTTTAAAATGAAACTGTAGCTCTAGTTCTTTGCTGTATCAACTTAAGAATCTTGGACTTTTGTTCGATAGTCAAAGTCACGTGTTTAGGGGGAACTATCGTGGTATGAAAGCACTAACAGAACTAAATGATACGTAGGTGGGCAAGGAAAATAAAGACCTATATTGGTCATGTTGATTCATGTCGATCCAATCGTGGGGGATCCAATCGTAGCCCGTTAGGACTACCGCGTTGTCGGACGACATTGGGTTCGGATTAACGTGACCGTACTGTAGTAATATATATGCGAGGATTGCAAGAAAATGAAAGGGTTCGTTCATAGGATATTAAAAGAAATGTAGATTAAATCAGTGGCTTTGTTTAATCAAAATATGAAGGGGAAATACTCGTTTAAAGGTTGTAAAAGGCGAAATTTAGACTGAAATATAGTGTAGAATACAAAGTACTCAAGTTTCGGCTTACAGCAAAGCTGCTAAAAAATATTTTTCTCGCTTTATTACAAAAGGTCGACATAAATAAGGTGTTCGGATGGAAGATTTTTTATCAGATTACACTCTGGGGAAGTACCAGATCAATCGGAACACTTTTACTTGGTTGTCAGCAAGAAATTTGGAACAGTTCTGGCTTAATTTTATAATTATACACTAAAACCTCATTAAAACCGTTGCATTTGACAACATCGCAGTAACACACGAAACACGTCGCTAATTTCTTCATACGAGATTACCAGTGTTGCCAATCTGACTTGCAAATATTGCTTAATCGAAATGTTCAATTTTACCACGTAGCTCGGATTATTCGACTTTTATTACTTTGTTTGGACAAATTCTGTCGAAACCATCTCCGATGATCAGTATTAATTATTATATATAAAAAAAAAGATTTATAAGACTTGAAAACTTAACGAAAAAAAAAATCAATTATGCAACTTCTGCTGATTACTGATTGTTGAAAAATTATAAAATCTAGGGTGCTATGTTATAAAATAATCTGCTTCAATTAGAAACGTGTCTGTGTGTAAGAAATAAAAAGTACACTGTTAAGAACATGTAAAATACGCCGTTTGTTGTATATTGTTCACTATTTGTGGTCCAAGGAAGTAAAGAAACGTTTTGATAGAGAAACTTAGTTTCAAATGTGCCGTATACGCGTAAAGGACTGAAAACATATTTTGTGACTCTTAAATCTTCATTTAGAACCGAGGAAAAAGGTTATACATATTTAATTGGTGCAATTTCAAGCTCTAATCTTTGGTGTTTTAGTCAAATAGGTCTAAGTCGTACTTCCTTCCGTCTTCTCTTGCTTTTCTTTATACGTTGGCAACATCGTTAAACCTCGATCAATATACTGTTGGATTAGTACACATTTTGGAGAAATTAGTGCAGATTGGCAACGCTGCATTCGAAATTTTCTATACTGCATTTCGGACGTTAGAATCAGTGTGGTTGTATATTGCAAACAGGCTTACCATACTTCGCCAATTCTGTGAATTATTATAAATAAATCCTCCTTTTGTATTCCACAGCAGTGAACAGCGATAATACTTTAATTTGCTTCTTTTTCTCAGCGGTCATCAAACAATTAATAATTTTCTGAAGGTACTGAATAATTATTTTTTCTTTCTTTCAATTCACTCGTGAACGGCCAACAAAAAATATCTTATAAAAAACATTTATAGTGTTGAATTTTCAAACTGTTGACAAATTCAAAGTTCTGTTTTTAATTAATTTACTTTAAAAAATGTATCTTCGATAGAAGCCATGTTTTTATTTCTTCTTTATTGAAAGCAGTGTTAGGAACTTTTCCAATTTCCTGATATGATAAGGAGCATTATTCATCACCACAACTGTTTTTTCTGGCAAATTGGGAATTAGGTTATGTTGGAACCAATTTTCAAAGAGTGGACCATCTATTTTCTGCATGGTAATCTTGGGTGTTTTTTTGCTAGAAAAATCAGTTCTGCTCTATTAACAAACCCATTTTCACATCCTGCGTGTAGGAAGACAAAACGATGACCATAAGCTGCAAGAGCTGTTAAGCCTTTATTCAGGCCACGAACAAATGCCTTTCTATGCGATTTAATGGACATGCCTACCCATTCTTTTGATACGCTGTAGCCTACGTTTATCCATGACTTGGGAAGTTCTTCATGAAAGAAGTATAAATAAAAATAAATCGTTGCCAAGGCGAAGAACTCTATGGTTTTGTACAGAAGTGAAGGAAAAATGTAAAGAAAAGAAAAAGCTTACCTCAAATACACGTCAACCAAAACACAAGAGGCATACCATATAGACGAGGTAATATTGATAGCCAAAGATGAAGATAGTCGGCAAAGACTTCCACAGATTAAACATAAGAGCAAAAGAATTTAATATGGCAATCTTATCTCAGAAAACTAAAACAATAGCAGTCAGCAAAGAATCAACCAAATGTAAAACAAAAATTGATGGCATCAGTATTGAACAAGTAATGGAAATAAAATACCTGGGAAGTGCCCTGGCTAGCTATGGAGACCTGGACAAAGAAGTGAGAGATCAAGTACAAAAAGCAAATAGATTGGGAGGATGACTTAATAACACTATATGGCGAAACAGAAACAAGAATTTATACAGCCAGTGTAAGATCAATAATCACATATGCCTCAGAAACAAGACCCGTCACAGCCACCACGCAAGGCTACTGGAAACGGCAGAGATGAGAGTCTTCTTCTTGTGCCGTCTTCTAACGAAGGTTGGCGATCACTTCTTTAAACGCTTCTCGATCTTTTGCAACGTGAAATATCTGTTCAACACTGAAGTTAGTCCAATCTCTGATATTCCTCAGCCAAGATTTCTTCCCTCTACTCTACCTTGCATGATGACTTGTAGCAGAGAGTATTTATCGTTTCGGAGTATGTGGCCCAGATACGATGTTTTTCTTATTTTAATTGTGTTCATAAGCTTTCTGCCATGTCCAACTCGTCTTAACATTTCCTCATTTGAGACTTTTGAAGTCCAAGGAATCTTCAAAATACGCCTATACAGCCACATTTCGAATGCCTCCAATTTTTTTATAGATTGGGCTTTCAGAGTCCAAGCTTCTGAGAGAGTACTGAGAAGAAATACAGGAAATATATTAGAAGAAAATGTACCGTACAGTGTATAAATGAATGGAGCAAAATAGAAAAAAAGAATGGAATCACCACATAAGCAAAATTGAGGAGACCCGTATCCTTAAATAGAAAGAGATGTCACCAAGTATCGGACGACCGCGCAAACAATGGAGTGACAACTTTGCATAGAGGTATTAATCCGCCAATGAACAAGCAGAATTGTTTATAAAGAGGAACAAGAAGAAGATTATTAAATATGTTTATTATTCCTAATAATTAAGAACCTATTAAAATCCCATTATTCATTATAGCAGTCATTAAAAAGACATTGTTTACTATCCATGTAATTACTAACATTCCATTTCTTCTAATACATACTTGAAATCCAATTGTGACGGAATTGTTGAGAATCTCTGATGGTATGTTGTTCGTACTGTTACTGCCGCGAAGAACGGCAACGTTGTCAAGAAAATTCTCATCTTTTGAGTTTGCATGGCCGTATCCTTCCTACAATGCATCGCTTGTCTGAAATACGCTATAGATGTGTGTCAAGCACTGGCGGGCGTTTGACCTTGACGATGTTTACAACCCGGTAGTGGTGGCTTGTCTAGTATCACGCGGTGTTGCCGTGCTATCCAAAATTCTCTATATCTACTACCTCTATAAGTAATTGCTTCCCTTTTTTGCTGTGTTCGCAAAAGTTTGCTATATCCTTCAATATTCATTGTTAAATGTTTTCCTTGCTGCTATGTACACAACATTTTCTTTGCATTTAGTCTTTTCTTTGAAATTTTTCGTTTTAGACTCAAGTTTAATGTTAAAAGACGTCTTCTCGATGATCTTGTTCTAGTTTTCCTTTCTAGTTCTAGTTGCAAGTCTTTATTTTTGTTTTGTTAACAAATTAATGTAGATCGTGAGCAAATTATACAAGCATTTTTAAAACGTTTCTTTATTTCGTCGACCAGTAATTGCTGTGTATGCAAATGTTTGTGAGAACATGTCTTATTCATAATTGATCTCATATTATTTCCATTTTAAAACTTTTCTACAATTATAACAGTAAATAAGATGAGAGCAGGGCCATTTTAAAATATGTCTATCAATATTTGTTGACAAAAAATCAATACAGAAGTAATAAATTGAAGTGTTACCAAAAATATTTGAATTTTGTCCTTCTCTCGACCTAACAGCTACACATCTTCCGTAGTACCACTGAATTCGATACATTGACCTAAAAAACTATAAAAATAATTTTTACTGAATTTTCTTACTTTGTAAAACGCTCAGTGTTTAATTTACTCGTTTTCGAACATAAAAATGCCGATTTCAGTGGTAGTACCTATTGAACCAAAATAAAACACAAAAAAACGACAAAAAAACCTCAAGAGGGTGAAAGTGATGTCTCTGTCTCATCTGTACAGTCGAGTTGGTGGGCAGCAGGGTCAGGGGGGTATTCAAGTGCCCCAGCAAGTGCAGATGGCCGTGGGAAGGGCAGTCACCAATGCCGCCATCAACGAACTATCCAACGCCTTCAAATTCCATAAGTAAATCTTTATTTATTTATTTTTTGTTTGAATTTAAAATATTTTCTTACTTTCTTCTTAGCGCATCTAGTAGAAAACCAGATTTTTATAATACTTTACAAGCTAGTAAATGAGTTCAGACTGAATATCGGCTTTCTATTGGACCTAAGAAGATCTTACTAACACTAACCTTTTCAATGCCAGTATACTAACTGTTCTTTTTGTTGTTAAGATTGTTATTATTACTAATAAAGAAGTAATGTTATCACAGATCAGTACCAAGGGAATTGTAGTAATAAAAACAAGCGTAAGTTACTAACAAACTAAATATATACACGTAATGTAGGTGTATGCGGTAGGATTATGTTGCTCCGTTGTTGTTGGACTTTTTATTGGGCAAAAACTATCCAACACGTCTTAAGGTCGATTCAAACACATCAGTCACGTCTCGTCACAGTCCCGGTGCCGAACCGAACAATCCGTCGTACAAAATATTCTTTAATAGAAATATGCCGCCGGCATTCACATTCATCAGGCGACGAACAGTTTCCCAACTGTCAGATAATTAATAGTTCTGTGACCAAACAGGACCGGTTCGGCGCCGGGACTGTGACGGGACTGGTGACATTTAAAGGTCGATTCAAACACATCAGTCCCGTCACAGTCTCGGCGCCGAAGAGGTCCTGTTTGGTCACAGAACTATCAACTATTTGACAGCTGGGAAACTGTTCGTCAACTGATGAATGTGAATGCCACATGAATAAACATATTTTTATTAAAGAATATTTTGTATGACGGATTGTTCGGTTCGGCGCCAGGACTGTGACGAGACGTGACTGATGTGTTTGGATCGACCTTTAAAGTGACCAATTTTTCAGACAGATTTGTGACTATCCAACATTCGTTGTAACGAATTGCACGTGACATTTGATCTACTTTTTGAAATACTCTGTGGTGTAGCTGTCATCTGTCAATTCTATGATACGATTGTCTCTATGACAATTACGTCATAGTATGAATGACAGTTATGCGCCTCAAATGTAACACAATTTTTGACAAAAATTACTCGTTTTTTGTTGTTTATTTTTACCGTAAAAATTCGAACAAAAACAAGGCGAGTATGTACAGGCTTAAGCGTAAACTACCGTGTACTAGTAAAAAGACAAAACAACACGCATTGTAGTGCTTGTATCTAAATTAATTGAATGTACATATACACAAAGAAAAACAAAACAAAAAAATGCCTTAGAGAACAAACCATACGACACATTCCAGATTTAGATTTAAAAAAAAACTAAAAGTGGTAGGTTATTAGTTCAGATGTGAATCTAGAGGCGGTCTCACGACTTGGAAATCCTTAAGAATCGAGTTTGTATAGAATTTCCCCGTACGCGTTACACGCTAGATTAATAGAAATTATATATTAGATAGGAGTACGGGTTATGAGATCACCGATATACAGAGATCATTGCATTACACAAAAGAAAAAATGTGCATCACATAACGCACATACCGTATATATTATATAATGATGTTCTTCCGTGCAAAAGTTGCCTAACCTCAATGTCTATTATCTATGTATTTATATAAGAATGTCGTGGCTAGGAATAGACGACCCGAAATCATCTGAGCATCGTGATCCAACATGTTTTGATGCACCATTTTGTGTTCCACCTGTTCCAAAACAAGTTTTCTCCATTTGATCTTTTAAAAACTGAAGTTATTTGCTTTTAGTATCGTTAAAGTCGTTTTCGCGGCTCTTACCAACTTAAGAATCCTGATTTTGTGTTTAATTACGTGTAATGATAGTTTTCCTAGTAGCCGAACTAGTCACGACCTTATCGTAAGGCATATCGTTGGATTTTTATACATTTAGGAGCAATTTGTGCAGACCGGCAACGCTGCATTCCGAATTTTGTCAGATCTGCGCTAAGACGGATCCAACGGCGCGTGGAGTGCCAGTCCTTCGCTCAAACTTGCTAGTTCACAAGTTCACATGCCGTTAAAGATTACGGTTAAAGAAAAAAATGAAGCCTACAGAAAGATGCTTACTCGACGAGCTAGAACAACTGTAGAAAATACCAAACGAAGAGGAGAGGAGAAAAGAGGAAACACAAAAGAAAAAAACGAAACCACCTAAATGACGAATTTAAATATATAGAAAACCTCAACAGAGATAAAGAATTCAGAGCATTCTATAAGAAAGTTAACATCGACAGAAAACAATTCAAGGCAACAATGCAGAAGTCAGAATGGCGACCTATTAACAACAAGGAAAAATGTATTGTTCATCTTTCCTTGTTAAATATATGTCCCAACAGAAGATGCCGAAGAAGATAGGAAGGAGGAATTTTATGAATTATTAGACCAACAGTATAAAGCTGCTCCAAAACACGACGTCAAAATAGTGATGAGAGATTGCAACGCTAAACTAGGTAATGAAGATTATTTAAGAGAAGTAATTGGTAAGCATAGCTTGCACGACACAACAAATGATAATGGACACCAGCTAACACAATTCGCAATATCTAATAACATGATCGTTAAATCCACCCAATTAGAAAGAAAGGACATTTACAAGGTCACATGGGTTTCAAGTGATGGAAGAACACGAAATCAAATAGATCATGTCCTCATTGACGCAAGACACTCTAGTAGCATTATTAATTCGCGAATTGTGAGAGGAGCTGACAGCGATAGCGATCACTTTCTGTTGAAATCTAAGTTAAGAACGCAATTATCAATACAGAAACTAAAACAACAAGAAAAAAGAGAAATACGGAACATAGAAGCCAAGAAACACAAAATAAAGAACTGGATTATTAAGTGGCAATAACTAACAGATTACAATTGCTGGGAGAGGAAGAGTAAATGTAGAGTTAGAACAAGCATGGCAGCAAATGGCATCAGTTATAGAACAAGCAGCCAAGGAAACTATTGGAAAAAAGAGGACTCACGCAAAACGGAATTGGTTTGACAAAGCATGTGAGGATATTCTGGAAATAAAAACGAAAAAAAGATTAAAAATGCTACAAGACTCCACAGATGAGAACAAAGCAGATTTTGACAGAACAAGAACACAAACAAAGCGACTATTCAGAACTAAAAAGAGGAACTAAGAAGAGAAGGAATACTTTCGGAATTTACTAAATATTGAAAGTGAAACAGAGGAAGCAGATATTACGTTTCATTCTGCAGATATCGAAATACCAGCACCAACACTTGGGGAAGTAAAGAATGCGATTGCGTTCCTAAAAGACCATAAAGCACCAGGAAATGATGGCATGTGTAAATGGAGAGTTGTTAAAAAACGGGGAAACTTTTTTACACCAAAAATTGTATGACATCTTTCTGAGAGTATAGCAACAACAGAAAATGCCTAGAGAATGGAATGGAAGCGTTATAATTCCCATATATAAGAAAGGAAACAAATAACAATTCCGAAACTATAGAGGCATATCGGTTATTAGCACATCATATAAAGTGCTATCAATTATCTTGCTAAAGAGACTCACACTATATTCGGAAGATATTCTAGGCGACTACCATATCGAGAAATACAAAAATAAAACTCTACAAAACAATAATACGCCCAGTCCTAACGTATGGTTCAGAGATCTGGACTCTGAAAAACAATAAAAACTGGATAGGATGTTTCAAAAGAAAAGTACTAAGGCAAATCTATGGAGCAGTGAATGACAATGGATATACCAGGAACCAGGTATAGGATTGGCGGAGAAAGGAAATGGATAGGGACGACTGGAGAGGCTAATTCTTGAGGAGGCTAGGTCCCACGCAGGGTTGTAAAGCCAGAATGATAATGAGTGTTAACGGTAAAAAAAATTTAATGGGTAGATAAGTTATTTTTTTGCGCTTCATTTTGTCAACAACAAACAATTTTCGAAAGGTTTCCATCAACGTATCTTACAGACAAATGACGGAACTCACCGCGCCAACTTAAGATCCGCCCATATTCAACGGCGTGCGAATTGGAAATTTTGGCGCGAGTACTGCCATTGCACGCGCTGTTGACTTTAAGCTCTGGCGGTAGTTTACTGCGTCAGTGATGACTTGTCGAGTAGAAAGCGACGTTGCCGTTGCGTCCAAAAATCCCTATATCTACAAAAACCACTTAGCAAAAAACACTTCGTAGAACAAACTCACTACTTACTATCTATATCTTAAAATCTTGATGTTATTCGATGCTGTAAGTCGCATTTCGTAGAATATATTTTGCACTTAACAGTTTTATTCATCATATCAAATTTGTGAAACGATATTAGCGATCGGAGGAGAATTTAACCGAAAATAATTTTAAAAAACCGTGTTGAAGAGGTTTTTTGAAACATTTGCTACGTGTAAGCCGTAGAAAATAGTAATAAATGCCTTTAGGTGCAGTCGATTTTGCACAGCCTGAGTATTTGTTACGTCTCAATCATTTTTTTTAGCAATACTTTGGAAATCTTTCTCGCCATATCTGCAGGTGTCTTCCCACACCTATTTAGGTTTATATAGGATGCCGAACCAACAGATTATCTGTTCACATATCCAAGGGCTATCTTTTCTTTCGTCGTTATAAAATCTCCAAATAAATAACATTGATAGTCCTTTCCAGATATCTTTCTGAACTGTACAAGACCTCTACTAAGCAATATAGAAGATATTAATTTCATCCTTTCTATTTATTTTTTCATCATTCATTTTTTAACGAAAAATTCCTCCATAACGAAAAATCGACGTTGTCAGATTTCTTGGTTTGTCAGCAAAACACGAGTACGTCTAAAGGCCTCGCTTAGAGTCAATTATTGACGTTTTTGACATTAGAAAATCTAGTGTACTTCTCTCGTACATACTCGATAATATTTTTGGCGCATTTCTTTGTACAGAAGTTGAAAAGAAACACCAAAGTACTACCGATGATATACGAGATGAGATACGTAACAAACATAGTTCGTAAAAGATTATCTTTTTCGTTTTTCATTTCGATATGAAATGTATTGGCGCTTTCAATATGATATATAAACG